TTTTTTAATTGATATCGTAATTTCAAAGGGTTCCATGTTTCGCCTGTAAAATGGTGTAAGTAAAAAATTTAATTCAAATAAAATCATTCCATTTTGCTTGGTTTTAAATTACCACTCAAATATTCAATCCAACTTTGAACAGATTCTGGTGGATCTGTTTCTTTAATATGTTTGAGTGCTTCGTCGAGCAGAACATCGCCGGTCGGCTGATCTGATTTTAAAATGAGTTTTCTAAAACATAGGAAGTTTGATAATTTAATATTGTAGATGTACATATTTTAAAGACGCAATTAATGACGACAATGCATTGAATTTCATTATGAAGCATGTAGTATACAAGGCATAGAAATGGCAAAAAATTTCGACTTTTAGAAAATGAATTGTGCATTTAGATGATTATTATTTTCTTTTACTGACGTGTTGTCACAGATATTTTTTAAGGCCAGCTTTGGCAATATATTGTTATATCAATAACAACTAAGGGTAACGATAACTGTCTATAATGATAACTATAAATAACGATAACTATCGATAACCATAACTTTCTATGCCGATAACTATCGATAACGAGAAACCATCGATAACGACAAATTATCGATGAGAACCAACTATCGATAACGAAAAACTATCAATAACGGTAAACTATCAATAATTATAGTTATCGATAAGGACAGCTATCAATAACGATAACTATCGATGTAAACTATAGTAAAAAATTACCGTTTTTATACGGTTTTTATAGAGATGTCATAACAATAACGTCCTTGATAACAGGCAAATAGATCTTACATACGATACCGATAATTACACTGACCAACAATATTTTGCGGCAGGGCTCTTAGATCTGATTCCTATAGGATTTCTTTCCTTAGATTAAGAATCTGCCCTTTAAATTATTCAATTCTTTCAGTATAAAAAGTAATTTTATCCCAAAAGTTAAAAAAAATGTAGTTTGTAAAAATTATCCAATATTTTTAAGTGGCCTTATTGTAGGGTTATTAGCCATTCAACGTAAGTCTCTAACTCTAACAACGATAACATAAAATACTTGCCAGATATGACAAAAGGTAAAATGTATGACCATTTTCCTGATTCGACGGAATAAAAAATCATATAAAAAACAGTGGTGCTGCATGCCGTTGTTAGAATTTTGTTGGCTGTGTTATAGATACGGTGACCATTCGTACCGATTTTGAGAAAATTGTTCCGCTGAATATTTTTTATTTTTCAGGACGTATAAGTGTCCCGATTTTTCGTATTTGTTCCGATTAAATTCCGATTTCCAGTGTTTTCTTTATTAGTTTAACTAAAGTCTTCCTACACTCTGGCCCAAAAAACAATTTTTCGTACAAACGTGGCAGCACTTTCTCTCTACTCTCGCTATATTGCAGTCATCATTCTGTAAATCAAACTCACAAAATTCGACAAAGTTTCATCAAAATTATGAGCTTTTTAATTAGATTTCTTTAGAAACATTCTGAGTATTCTGTTTTGTAGTCAATTCCATTTTATTGTAATAAAGTGCAAATTTTAAGTAGCTAGGACTTACCGTTCATTCTTGGTATTTTTTCTTTTGTGGAATGTGTTGCTCATTTTCTCCATACAAAAAATTGTCGAACATACTTTGTATGGAAGAAAATGCGCGAACAAAAATTTGCCAAAAATCTACGGTAAGTCCAAGTTATTTCGAATTTAGTTTAATGGGTTACAAAAACTGCATGATCAAAAAAAAATAAAAAATCTAAAAGTCTGATTACAAAGTTTAGAATTTTGATTAACATTTGTTAAAATTCAATGAATTTTTGTAAATGTTCTACGAAGTTTGAAACTATCATTTACATGTTTTTTTTTTAGATACTAAAACTTGCTAAAATGTGTGTATACAATTTTGCGATCATTTTTCAAATTTTTTCTCTTTGTTTCGCCTTAGATAAAACTGTATTAAAAATTTTGTGTCTTTTTAATCTAGAAACAAAATTGTATGCTCGGATTCAATGCTCTAGAAATGTCCCGATTTTTGTCCACTGAAATCTGGTCACCGTAGTTATAGATCAAGATCAGTGTAACAGCAACGATATCTATATCTATTTAATAATTATTAAAACAGTTCCGAAAACGCTCGAAACACCGATAACTATAGCTATTTTTTAATATAAATTAAATTTTTTACGTATCTTACATTATACATATTATATCAAAGTCTCTGGAGTACTTTGCATTTACTTTACCTGGAGCACAAGCTGCGTCGACGCATGCCTGTCTTCTCCATCATGACGCGACCGCGTAATCCAAGCTCAATAAGAATGCAACCACGTAGGCCGCTCGATATGCAATCATTCCAAAAGGATGTGTAGCCCTAAAAGAGAAGTAAATAAAAATAAATTTAATAAATTCAAAGACATGAAAAGTAGTGTAAACTGAACAATGACGAACAAATTCGTATACATACTAGTGTACTATGTACATACATTGAACCGTAACGGAAACAAGTAGAAAAGCCTAAGTTCGGTCGGTGCTGAGTATTAAATACACGGCGTACGTATTAAATACAGTTTTTCCACCTTTCCGAAAACTATCGTTACATGCAAAGCAGGGTAGGCTTTACCCCTATTTCAAACATCTTCGATAATATGTTCAGTTAGACTTTATGAGATAAACTTATACAATTATAAGGTACATAATAATGTTATTTCTTTTCACGAGATTGTTGTGAGTATCAACTTTGAGTATATTGACGCCCTTAAATTTCGAAATATCGAAATTTAGCCATTTCTGAAATTTACCGTTATATGAAAAATGGGAGTAATTTTGGACCGCGGTTACCAAGCTACACACATGTGGTGCTAAGTGGGCGGTGCCACGACCATTTTCAAAAAATTTGTTATAAATGTATTTTTTTATAAAAAATCATTGCAAACATCAATTTTGAATTAATTCGCTTCAGTAGTTACTGCTTTATCGAATATTTCGCATTTCTCTAAAGTACCGTTATATATACGGTGACCATCCGTTCTGTTTTTTGCAGGACCGTACTGTTATTTAAAGGTCCAAAATGTTCTGATTTTTTCCAAGTGTCCTGCCTTAGTTCCGCATTTTCTTCGATATTTTAAAATTAACTTTTCCTAATCGAAATAAAAGCAGTGTAAGTTGGTTTTGAAGGTTCAAATAGTCAATGCGTTCTAAATATTGTACGGATATGGACAATGGGTGACGAGAAATTGAAGACCAGCATCAAATATATCGATAACACTGTTCTACAAATTTTGTGGTAATCGCTTAAGAAAAAAAATATTTTCCAAGCCGATTTTCTCTTCAAACAAGCGTTTTCGTAATTTTTTTCGAAAAAAGTGTTTTTGGTACATTTCGGACCTATTCGTCAATGCCTCATGAAAAAATTATCCAATCAACATAAGCGACCTACAAAAATATATTACTTTGCCGATTTCCATGAAAATTATTAGTGTTACAACCGACCAAAATCAAAAAATTGAAATTTCAATCATTTTCTTTCTACAGTAAATGAAACTCTGATGAGAAATGTAGATGTTACGGAACACAATCTGCACAAAAAATATATATTTTTGCAAAGAGCCCATCAATACCTTTCGAACTGTTGGTCGTTTCATGAGATATTGCGGAATAACTGAAAAAGTACTAAAAATACGTTTTTCGAACAAATGTCGAAAACACTTCTTTGAAACCATGGGTATTTTTTCGTGTTCAACGACCCAAAGTTTGCCTAAAAAAATTTGCTTTACAGAGGTTCATATTTCGTGTAAAGTAATATGTAATATGCCTTGTTATAATTGTGTAAATATTCATTTATAAAAGACTAGCAATTACCCGGCGTGCTTCGCTGCGCCTTAAATGTATTTTTGTGTTGTAACTCTCCCCCTAAGCTCTTATGGCCTCATTTACAAAATATTTTTAAAGAACTTTATGAAGTTAGATTTAAAAAAATCGATCTATGAAGCATTGTTTATTTTTTTTTTGAGTTAATATATTTTCGAAGGTAATTAGAAAATATGTAAAGAACCGACTTTCTCTTGGAAATTTAATTTATAATCTTATAACTGGAGTCTACTATCGCACCCTTTCCTCAAACGTGTATTGATTCAATATTCAAATAACGTATATTTATATAATTTGAAAAAATCTCCCTACTATACAAATATGTACAGCAATATTAAATAATATTTTCAAATGTTGTGAGAGGGAGTAACAAAACAAAATTACTTTTAAGGCGCAGCGAAGCACGCCGGGTATTCGCTAGTGTCACATGAAATTAACTGAGCAAAGTACAATGAATAGCTGTTAAACAATGGCACCATCTACTTTAAATGAAACATACTTATTTTCGTGGGGGATACTCACACACCATATACTTTTCTATTGAAATTTTTCCTGAATTTTCCTAGCTATAAACCTCCAACGAATGCAAAACCGTGAAAATCGGTTCGTGCGTTCTGGAGTTATAGCGTCAGGAAGGAAAACCCTACTTATTTTTATATTAATTTTTATATTAAAGAAGATTAAAGAACTGTCCGCATTACTCAATTTTATTTTTCACTAAAACGGTATTCATGAATTTTTTAATTTTTTTTTTATTTGCTTCCGCATACTTTTGACATAACAGCTTTCATTTTATGCCGATATTAAACAAATACAGCCTAAGTTTACCCGGGTCCACGTCTTGGTCTGTATCTCGTGACCCAAGTCACCCAGCTATATGAAAAGTGCTCAATCTTAAAGCATTCATGAACAGCTTTCATTTGATACCCATATTAAACAAATACACCCAAGGTTACCCAGGTCCACGTTTTGGTCTATATCTCGAGACCCTAGTCACCCAGCTATTTGAAAAGTGCTCTATCTTAAAGCATTCATGAACAGCTTTAATTTGATACCCATATTAAACAAATACATCCTA